CGCGGGCCACGCGCCGGGCCGGCGCAGGGGTAGGCGCCGCGGTGAGCAGGCTGCGGACCGACCAGGGAGCGGAAAGCCGAGCGGCACATTGGATAGGGAGCAAAAGCAGAGCAGCAGATGGGCCAGTAAGCAAGAAACAGAGCAGGAGATCGGGGAGAGAGAGGAAAGCAGGGCAGGAACAGAAAGCGGAGTAGCAGATGGGGCAGTAAGCAGAAAGTGGAGCAGGAGATCAGGCAAGGAGAGGACGTGGAGCCGCGGAGTGAGTGGGGGCAGAAGGCAGAGCAGCAGGTAAGACAGAGAACAGAAACTGGGCAGGGAGCAGAAAGCAGAGCAGCAGATCGGGCAGGGAAGGGGATCTGAGTGGCAGTGGAGAGGGCGTGGGGCTAATTTGCAGCCTGCCTGCCCCCACTTAGGAGGCGCAGCCTTAGGGGTCAGAGCCTGAGAGCTGAGCCCCAGCGAGGGTCCCCTCGGCTTCCAGGCCCTGCAAGTCGGTGTCTCTTGTTCACGTCCTCAGAGCTCCCGGGCGTGCCTCAGCTGGGAGATCTCTTTAGGCCAAATCCAAAACCTTCTGCCCCCTCCCTGCGAAGTGTCTGCTTCGCTGTGCCCCCCATGGAGGGCAAACGCTGGCTCTGCTACCGGGTATCAGGAAACAGCCTGGCTGGAAAAGGACTCCTGCAGGCTGGTCCTGCTGGTGGGAGGTTGCAGGGTTAGGGAGAGCCCAGGAAACGAGCAGAGTTTCAAATGCCCGTGTCTGCCCCGGCCCAGTGGTGACAGGTGGGCGATGGGGGCTGGCAGGAGGCCCAAGTCAGGCGGGTCTGGGGGAGAGGACAGCACTGCAGCTGCCCCAGCACTGGGGGGAGTGGGAGAGACCCAGTCAAAAGACACCCCTGAGCTGGTGCTAATCTTCAGAAAGCCTGTTTGAGGCAGAGGCAGATCACCGGGGGGGGGTTCCCTGGTGCACTTGCACCCCCCTTTGATTCCTAGGCCCCCCAAAATTTAACACCCACTGCCTGGCAGTAGCAGCTGCCTTTTTAGTTGGGCAGCACTGAGGAAGTCCATTGGCTTTGAGGCTCGTTGTCATCTACCTGATTCCTCCCGAACTCTTCGTGCCAGGGTGGGTGTTAAGGATCCTCTTTTCTTTTTCATGGTCTTGATGTCCCCCACCCCTTGCAGCCAGCCCCTGTCCTGCAGCCTGTGCCTGCGTCTGGTCAGGTAGCTTCTGCGTCACAGCCCTGCCCGTTGCTTTTCGCTCCATCCAACGAAGCACTATTTGTTTTTGCTTCCATCTTTAAGACAACAACCCACCCAGCCCCTGGCAGCTGAGCAAAGCTTCTAGTTTCTAGTTAAGCTGGAGAAAAACGCGAGCTGCATTGCCTGGGAGCAGGCACCTCCCCTCGAACCCCTCTCCCAGATCCTAAGTCCGCCTGCCGTTCGGTGCTGGGCCTGTAGGCAGCGAAGCCACGTCTTAAATATGGAACGATTGTATCAGAAGCTCAAAATCATCGTATTTGCTGAAAAAACTATTGTACACAGAAAAAATATGCAAACAAGTATGGAAATAACTTAATTAGTTTACGTGGCTCTCTGTAACTAGCCAGTGAGTGAGAAGTGGGTCACAAAAGATGACTAGAAAATGTAGATATAGAGAACATTTACGTCTATATGAAGACATATATTTTTAACAACAACAAAATCTTTGAGGCTGGCAGCCATAAGAAAATTACCAAAAAAACCCCTTTATTTTTTAGGCCAGCAGCCATAAGAAAGTGCTGACAGCAGACTCCAAAATCAGTTCAGACTCCCCGAGTTGATGCGTGCGCTGCATCAACTCCCTGCCACAAAA